CACACACACACACACACACACACACACACACACACACACACACACACACACTGTCTCCTCACCTCCCTGCATCCATATCTCACTGTTTCACTCCTTCTGTCCTGCACCCTCACTCACACACTAGCCCTCCTCCTCCTCCTCCTCCTCCTCCTCCTCCTCCTCTTTGTCAGTGTGCAGTGGCCCTGAGCACTCACAGCTGATCCGTTCTGGCATCTGAGGAGAAGCATTTTTCTTTTCCGTGGCACCGCTGCAACGTTCAAAGACAAACATGCACACACAAGAGGGGCGAGGGAGACACGAGGGCACGAGGAGGGAAGAGACGAGGACACGAGGAAAGTAGGTGACAGCAGAGGAGATGAAGGAGGGAGGGAGGTGGGGGCAGAGGAGGAGGAGGAGGAGGAGAGCAGTTTCAAGGCTGTAATTGAAATCTAATTATCACCTCAAGTCCCCCAGCTGAATCCACGCTGGGCTCCCGCTGCACGTTCCAGCGTGACGCACGTGCGTGCGTGAAAATATCTGCACGTGTACGAATATCACATCATCACCACTAACATCTGGAGCCTTCACACACCAATAATCTCTCCCTCTGTCCCGAGAGCAGCACCTCTGTGTAGCTACAGCATCCTCATCCTCATCATCCTCCTCCTCATCATCCTCCTCCTCCTCATCATCATCATCATCCTCATCATCATCATCATCATCATCATCATCATCATCATCATCCTCCCTGCTGTGTAAAAACACACCCAGGTTGTATTTTCTGTTGAGGTGACAAGCATCCCTGATTTCTAATCACACCCTGATGACTCTCACACAAGTGCAACGTCATCACTATCTCAACGTCAAAACACACGCGCAAGCGCGCGCGCGCACATGAATTCACTGAACCATTTAGGTTAAATGGCATCACGTTAGATTTGGCTTGTACTGTCCTGACCTGGAAATGACGGGCGTGTGTGTGTGTGTGTGTGTGTGTGTGTGTGTGTGTGTGTGTGTGTGTGTGTGTGTGTGTGT